ATGTACATCACGGCAAGGCCCCTTCTTGAGGGCTCAATCCTCACACAAGTCTTTGTAAAACCCGGGAACCAGGCCCGGCGTCCCTTACAAAATTAGGCGGGGCCCTCAGCGGGCAAGGCATCACCAGCCAAGCACATCCAGGGCCCCAGTAGATTTCACCCCACAGGCAACTCCACAGCCCGTACCACCGAAAAGTGGAGGAAAATTATCATCAAAATCTAAGTTCGTCACCAAGAATTTAAACTCTAATGATCACAAGAGTCGTGAAATTATCATCACCCCACGAATAGAATGGAGCCTTGATTTAAGAAAATAAAAATAAAAAAATCAATATCTAAGTTCATCACCAAGAATTTAAACTCTAATGATCGCAACAGTCGTGACAACCCTAATTTATTTAGTGTGACCCAAATTCCACCAACCGTGAAGAAACCATGCGCAAAAAGAAAAAAAAAAGAGAACAAACGAAGAAAACGAATTAAGACCACACAGAAAGGAGGAAACCAGCGGTCAGCGCTACTTGATCATGTCCACTATTCATCCGGACTCAGGGGTTACTACCACCCCCTGCCAATCCGCCCTGCCACACGTGCGGGGCAGGGGTCTGTGCTCACAGGCCCCAAACTGTTTTCTGTCTTTCTGGTTTGTCTGTCTCTTTGCCTGTCTGTCCTTTCATTTTTTTCTCTTCTCTGCTCATCTGATTTCTTCTTCTACTTCACGTGTTTGCACACATAGTCAATAGTTCTGTGACAATATATATATATACATAGGGTCACCGGCCCATATGTAGGGAGGTCCCTGGGGAGACCTCCGTACGTACGGGCATTCGGGGTCCCGTACGGGGTCCGAACCCGACGGCGTTCGACCCCCGCCAAAAATTATTTCGGTGCCTAAAAAAAAAAAAATTCTGAATTTTTTTTTTTGTGAGTTCTCTATGACGTGAGGTACATGCCTATAATTTTTCAAGTCATTTAGCTCAGCCAAATAAGAATTAAAAATCGCCAAAGATGACGGTGTCAAAACGTGCTCGCCCACGTTTTTTTTCACTTTTTACTTTTTGTTTTCACTTTAGTTTGGGGTCTAAACAATTTTATTATTTTTTGAAACTTTTTTAGTGGGTTTTGCATTATGTGAAGTACACATCTGTACATTTTCAGGGCATTTAGCTATGCCAAAAAAAAAATAATGAAAAATCGCCAAAGATGGCGGTTTCGAAAACGTGCTCGCGCACTCACTAAGTTTAATTCTTTTTTATTTTTTGTTATGCGAGGATCTGGGTCCTCGGCAGGCCTAAGGGCCCCCTGTTGCATCCGTGCCCGCCCTAAGTGAAGGCAGGCCTAACAAATCACGAGAGGCTCTCGGACGTCCATTTCATATTTGGGGTCCAGGCAGTTTCGCTGCACCAGTTGGTTGATGAAAAACACAGGCTGAGCAGTGAGACTTTCGACGGCCTTCCAGGCCTTTCCAAAATGATGCAGGCCCTGGACGAGAATGGCAGCCTCATACATAGACAGTTGGGAGGCACAACCGAAAGAGGCCCAGTAGCTGCAAGAGAGGCACAGCATCCTGGGGCCTACTGGACGCTTCTGGCCGCAGGCCAGTCCAGCCAGGCTGCCGAATGAGGCAGGCTCTTTCCATATAGGAAAGAGCTCGCTGCCTGGCCATGAGGTCGGACACTCGCATGGTGGCGGCAGCGCTGCTGGAGCTGATGCTCGTGGGCTGCTGCTAGCGCTGAGAGGCGAGGTGCAAGTACGTGCGGTCGTGCAAGGAGGAGGGCGCTGCTGAGGGCAGCACCATAGCCCAGCCTCCATAGCTGGCGGGCTTGGATGTACAGTGGGGCGCAGGGGTGGTCTTCGGGTGTACAAAAAGGACAAACACTCTCCCATAACCTCGCTTACTTATTGAATAAACGATTTAGGCTTCTCCCATTTCGCTCGCCGCTACTCAGGGAATCACTTTTGCTTTTTTTTCCTCTGGCTACTAAGATGTTTCAGTTCACCAGGTTCTCTCTTATCCGCCTATGGATTCAGCGGCAGTACAAGGGGTTACCCCATTCGGGAATCTCCGGATCCATGCCTGTTTTCGACTCCCGGAAGCATTTCGTCGCTTACTACGCCCTTCTTCGTCTCTGAGTACCTAGGTATCCACCGTAAGCCCTTCCTTATTTGAACCTATTACCTTCCTTCCGGACTCCAAAAACATTGTAATTA